ATGACACCAGGACCTACCGTGGAGCTGATCTGCCCTCTGACTATCGACTTGTCATCTGTAAGATGCGCCTGCCATTCTTCCACTCCGGTGGTGGGTGTACACCCAGGACCCCATTCCAACCTAAGGTGGCCTGGTCTCAGCTAGCTGATGGAAGTTGCAAGCGAGAATTTCATCATCGTTTGCGGCTGGGGTTGGCATCGTCCCACACTCCTCCAGATGTTGAGGGTAAATGTGCGAAGTTTAGGACTATGACTCAGGCAGCTGCAATGGCTGCTTTGGGTACGTGGTCCAGACCTCCCCAGAGACCCTGGCTGACAGAGGAGGTGTTCAGGCTGGCTGAGAAAAACCGACAGGCCCACTCTCATCGTCTACAGCATACTACATCAGGAATGAGGAGGTTTACCGCAGCCTTCGCTCGGAGGTTCGGAGAGCCATGAGGCGCTGCAAGGATTGGTGGTGGTAGTGGGTTGCTGAGGAGATGGAGTCGGCCGCGGGTTGCTGAGGAGATGGAGTCTGACTCAATGGCCCGCGATCACAAATCCCTATTTAACTCCATCAAAAAAGTAACCTGCAGCACCACACCTATTACCATTATTAGGGGAAAGAACGGTGATCCGATCTCCGATCCCCAGGAACAGGTTTGCATATTTGCTGAGCATTTCTGTGAGATCCTGGTGGTGGGGAAATCCCTCAGCAAGGAAAATAGCGTGGGACAAAGTGGGGATTACCCTGCTGAGGCTGCGGTGCCTCAAATATTGGAGGAGGAAGTCACCCCCTGTGAGTGGCTGGCTGAGGTGCCATCTGTTGAGGAAGTAATGAAGGTGATCCAGAGTCTGAGACCAGGAAAGGCACTGGGCAGAGATGATCTCCCAAGCCAAATGCCGAGGGAGGGTGGTGTTTGTGCACAGACTGCCCTACATGATATCATAACAAGAGTCTGGACCGCTGGACGGGTTCCGCAGGATTGAAAGGATGCCCTTGTGGTCCCCCCTCTTTAAGAAGGGAGACAGCACAGACTGTAACAACTACAGGGGCATCTCACTCCTCAATGTGCCGGGAAAGGTCCTAGCAAGGATTATTCAACATTGCCTTGCTAGGCACGCTGAGGAGAGGCTTGCGGATCCCAAATGTGGCTTCAGGAAGGGGCGGTCCTGCACAGATGCCATATTTTCTGTCTGTCTCCTACAGCAGACCTACAGCTCTGCTTTATTGACCTGGTTAAGGCATATGATACCATCAGTATGGGTTGATCTTCGTGCTTTGACCCTCTGCTCATGATCATTATGGACCTTCATGATGGTGAGCGGGCCCGGGTAGGTCCCACATTATTTAACATCTATTTTGACCACCTAGTTCGTGAAGCCTTCAATAGCTGTGCCAGAGGAATTTCCATTTGGTACAGACACAATGGGAGGCTGATCGATGCCCGGGTGCGGTCAAGGGATGGCTCCCTGTTGCTCAACCACGTTATGTATGCCAATGATCTGGTAATTGCTGCTCACTCAGAGGAGGAGTTTGAGGTGCTGCTGCTGAACCTGGAGCTTGCCACCAAGAGGTGGGGCCTTACCATCAGCCTCACCAAAATTAAGCACCTGCCTGGGTATTTGTACCATCGGACACTCCACCCTCACAACTCCCAATTGGTGATAGCGCAGTTGTGGAGCGAGTGAGAGTTTCCCATACCTTGGCAGTGTGCTCATGACTGGCTCCGGTTTAACAGCAGAGGTCTCACTCCAAATCAGTCGAGCGGCATTATCTTTTCATCGGTTGTGTAACGCTGTGTGGAAGCTACCTGGTCTATCACTCCGCACGAAGCTTCAGCTCTTCTCAGGCACGGTCATTCGCTCCTTTCTCTACACTTGCGAAACGTGGACCCCCCTAATGGAACATCTTCGCCGGTTAAAAACATTTAGGCTGGTCTGCCTACGATCAATCCTGTTTAACCAGGCTGGATTGTGAGAGGAGCTCACAAATCCTTGAAAGACGTGGACAAAGTCCCATTGGTGAGCTCCTCCAGCAGGCAAGGCTGCGCTGGCTGGGTCATATAGCCCGCATGCCCAAACAGCTTTTGTTCGGCCGGATCGAGGGGGCTAAATGGGCACGGCATGGGCTAGAAAATAGATGGAGTGATGTGGTACAGGAGAACGTGGAGCTGAGTGGACTTGCTAATGACTGGTACCAGCGGTGTCAAGATCGGCCTCTGTGGAGGAGGCTCATGAAGGACGCGACTGGGCAGTTGGACGTAGTCACCCTCCAACAACAAAGGAGGGCAGAGGAGCGACGCTCGCAACAACGAGCAGAGTGCCGGGTGGCTAAAGCACAGCAAGTTGGCACAGTAGCGGGCACAGGTGGTGCATCAAACAGTCGTCTCAGTCAGTCGAACCGTGGCACCTGGGTCGGCCCCGTGACCTGCCAGCGAGCGTTCGACACTTCACTTGGCCTCAAAGTGCACAATCCATTAGTGTGTATCTAAAGTCGATGTCTGTGTGTGAGTCCATATTTGTGTGTATAAGTCGATGTGTGTGTCTGTCTTTTTCGCCCGGGCAACGCCGGGTACTTCCCACTAGTGGGCGATATATAATCGCGACATTAAGTGTTCATGCAGAGTCCTATTCTGAATGTATAAATACTTGTTCAATTAAAACAAATACAAATCACAGTTATAATACATTTTTATAATTAACCATTATGACAACTGACATATGATGAAGCACTCGGCTATCATCACTACGACATGAGGTAGTGAATTCGCACAGGTTCCATGATTCCACAAGATGAATAAGTATACAGCTTTATCGTTGTCAGCGACCACACGTGCTGTATTCTACCACTCGTTAGCTTGATTAGAATTTATTGTTAATGTTTACCTGTCTATTTATGTATCTATCTATTTATTTTGTGTAGCTTCGGGAATATATTTGGCTCACTCGTGTCTGTCTTATTAAACACGCTTTGCTGTAGACATTATAAACAGTGCACATAACCGATACACAACCCACGCATTTGTTACATTTAAGGTCACCCCCCTACCACTGTGTCAGTCAACTGCGGCAGGGAGCTGCAGCTTGCTCTGGCATGACGGACTACCCGCCTTGCTTTGTGGGCCCCTCATTTGCAAGCCGGGCTTGCGCGAGCACTGCATTCAAGAGCATGTGCGCACAGTTTAAAAACACAGGACAAGGCAGTGTGTTTAGTGTGTCGTCCTTCCCCCGCATGTCCGATTAGCACGGTTGGCCACGTACGGTGCTAAAGAAGTTCAACACACATATGTACATTATACCATTCAATGTATAATTAGTTCAACATACATAAATTACGTACATACTGCGTACGTAATGCAGAGTGTAGGAAGTACCTAGTTTTGTTTCTAGTCAGAGGTCACATTGACAACAGGTCGTGCAGTCAAAAGATAAAGAAGCATTCTTCCCCACAGTTTGCGGTGCACCCAAGCAACTCAGCGAGCGAGTGCACGGCGAGGGGTTCCCCCCCGAGTGCGGTTTGACACGTTGGCAAATGAGGCTTTATCAGAAGTGGTTAACATCGCGTCACTTGTTTTGACGTTAATACAAGTGGATCGGCAATCCGTGCATGGCAAGGGGACGTATACGCGGTCATAACGCAGCCTTGGTGCAATTGGTTAGAGTTTGTGTGCAGTATGAGCCAATTACGGCCTGGGAGGGAGGGAGGGCAAGGGGGAGGCAGAGAAAGGGAGAGTGCCGGGGAGAGAGATTAAAGAGAATTGGACAGGCAGCTCAATGAGCAAGCACTGAGCAGATGGAGAGGAGAGGAAATAGGCAAGGACGAAGCACAGCCGAGGAAGACTGCGAGAGGCAGTTTAAGGGAGAGAACAGATGTAATGAGGGAAGGATGGAACAACACAGAAAGGGGAGGGGACAAAGGAGCCAATAAAAGAGACATGGAGGAGACGCACAGCTTGAGCAAGACGGAGACAGTGGGGAGTGATAATGTCGGACATTACAGAATTCTATGTTGGGTCAAGATCAAGAGGTCATGACGACCATCGCTGCGGATGTCACAACACCTCGGCATTAACTTCAGATCTTTGGCTGTTGTGCATTCAACACGCAATCCCCAACGTCTGCGCAATAGAGTTGGCTGTTGGCTTTACCCTGAGTTACTAATATGTGCATGCCCAGTACAATGCTTGCCTCAGTCACCTGCCTTCTTCCACAATGCACGCGTCCCCCCCAGCCACAATCTTCTCTTCCTCATCAAATCTGCAAACTAGCTTTGAAGTTGTTCACACTATTAAGCAACTCTGATTAGCACGGTTGCATATGTACAGTGCGAAAGAAAGTCAACATACATATATACATACAGTTCTGCCATAAAATCACGAGCATCCTCTGAATTAACCGCATTCAAAGGTCAAACACTTATTTTCCATTTATTTAAACACAGACGTGCCATATTAAACAATCCAACACCTCCTACTTCACCAGGTATGTTCTATTGTTCTTCTGCAACATATTTGTCCATCTTACGTTCTGATTTTAGGGTTCGTATCACGACCGCCGTGTGCGGCGTCTGCTGCCGCCTCTTTCTTTCGACGCAGGCTGCGGGCACACATTTGGTATCCGCACCGTTGTTACAGCTCAAGGCTGTCACGAATGCGGTCTGCACCAACTTCACAGGAAAGGCGGTGATGCTGCTCTGCGTTTTCCCAATTGAGTAATTTCCCGGTTGTTCCTACGACTTGGCAAACATGTACCCCAATGCCGACACACAACGGCCTTCTCGTTTCGAATACCGCTTACGGTTAATACACCCCCAGTAATGACCAGGGCAGCCTGCCGGATTCGTGCCGCCAATCTCCGCTGGGCCGCGCCACCACTCCAAAGCAATATTCACGAAGGGGTCGCGGACGGACGACGCAGCACGTGTTGCACTTAGACCTGGGAAGGGGGAGCTGAACGTTGAAGGAGTGAGGTCTGGGGGAGAAGGAGACAGGGTGAGGAGAAGGGGAGACGCGCGGTTACCTTGTACCCGGGCCCCAGCTGGTGGATGGCAAATATCTGTGCTGGGTTGAGCGCCTCGCTGAACACAAACACAGCGCCCAGCTGCCCGCAGAAGACCCGGTTCGCATCGGCCGTCTCTGATGATCCCAGGAAGCATTTGTCGAAGGTCTAGAAGCAAAGCACACATGGTAGGTACGAGCAGAAACGGAATCTTTATTTGAACTGCAGGAGAAGGAATCCGATGAGCTATGAAGTTCTTTTTACACAGATGTCCAGTAAAGGGCACGAGGTCAGCAAGTTACACCAACAAACAAACAATAGGAGTGTACCTCCTATCCGATTAGCACGGTTGGCTACATATGGTGCGAAAGACGTTCAACCTACATCCAAAATAGAGAAAAGGTAAGCAAGTCATGAATAATAATACAATATTAAACCAATGATATAAGCATATTGCACACACACACACACGCCGTAAACATAAGGGCAATGATCTGCATTTAAGCTTTCAAACTCAGCTGCCTTGGTCTCCCTCCCCAAAGTCACCCTTATTAAATAGCAGGAGGTACTCAATTCTGAGGCAGTGCTTCAACCAGTTTTTGTGTGGTAGCCCCCCCAATCAAGAAAACCGGTCCCCATGCCTCCCTCCCCGCCCCCTGCTCCCCCCCCCTGCCCAGCAAAACAAATATACAACCAAGTTCGCCAAGGCCACAATGTCACGAGTGGCAGAGGTCGCGTCCACAACGCTGATCAATGCTCAATGCGGTGCTAGCAAGGCGTTCGTATCGCCTTGTCTATTGCCGAGTTTTGTTGCGACGATGTACATTGAATCTTAATTTTGGAGCTTTCGTGACTGCAGGATGTACATTGAACTCAACGTGGCGCTGATGTTCCCCGCGCAAGTTAAAGATTGATCCTGCATGGCATCAATGCCACAACCTGCGACCCCTCTGAGAAGGTTTTCGACATTCACCCAAGGGGGGCCCGTACCCCCAAAGGCTGAGAACCGCTGAGTTACAGCGAAGTAAAACTCGAGGGCGGGGGCCACAGGCCAGGTTAAGCTGACGTACAGAAAATAGCCACTATGCCTTCAGTCTACAAAGATCCCCCATATAGCCTTAATGGACTGTTGGGGCAAGTGTTGTTAACGAGCACCTATGAAGGCCAGCACAGCACACGAGGTGGTGTGTGGCCGACATCACGTCTGGCCACCTTTATCTCCCTCGTGGCGATGTTGACACATCACACCATGTACTCATTTGAGGCCGAGTCGACCTCGGGGAGGCCCAGGTCCGGTTCAGATAATTGTCACTGGTGTTGGCTGTGAGCAGGAATCGAACTCGGGTCACCGGGTTCGTAGCACAGTGGGTCAACCATTACACTACCGCTCCGCTGCATTCTACAGACACACACACGCCTGTGTACACTAGGAATGTCACAGGGTCTCATTTTCCCCATACATTCTCTATTCGTGGTAGCTGTCCTGGGAGATCTGTTTATCAGTTGCGTAATAATACGCCACTCGACACAACGCACGTACTCTACATGTATACTTTTCCCCTTTTGCGGTGTCGTGAGATTTTGTCTTCACCGTGATACAAGCGCAATGTCGAGTCTCGGAAGTGGTAACCCTGGTGCACGTGCACACTTACACATGCGCAACCACACATACTAAGAAACTTAAAATGATTGGAGCAACAGAAGTGCCCTCCTATTCCTTGTCATGGACTACAAATGTGTACAAATATTCGCCATTGAAACTGTTAAAGTTCTGCATTCGTCTGCGTTAATGCGCTCTTGAGCTTAAGCCTTTGACTGGTGGTTAACACTGATGGCTCTACGCCATCAATGGAGATGAGCACCGTCAAATAACGATCATTGGAGCCGGTGGACTCTTTGACCCCTCTTAGAGACTGTGATTCTCAAATGCGTAAGTTCTAATATAATAGAATATTGATGTTTGGGCCTCAACAATTGTCTCTCAGGGAGCATAAAGTGCCCCAGATTGTTTTAACAATGAGAAACTTGGCGGAAATAGTTAACCACTTCTTCCCATGTAGCATATAACACGTAGACAATGGTGCACAACAGCGAGAGAGAATAAGAGCACAGGGTTGTTATAGCAAGCAAGTCTTCGAAGAGATTTTCAGCCTGTTTCCTAAAGTGCACGTACGATCGTGAAGTTGGCTTTCCTGCAAGAAAAGTAACATCGATGTGCCTGTCCAGTTTCAACGCTTGCACTTGACAAGACGTTTATCGTACATGCACATATAGCAGTGAAGTGTCAGCATTATTAAGCACTGTTTACAACTGCATGTCAGTGCCATGAGGCTAATCTCCTAAATTGACCCACTGAGCTACGTATTGAACAAATGAATAAACTTTGCTATGTGATGAGAGACGCAACTGCTACAATTTTGTATTAAAAAAAAAATGTCTGAAATATTTTAGGGCAGATCCGAGGTTTTGGAGCAATGGTCCTTCTTCACACCACAAGAAGAGGTCACCTCTCTGGCCTCTGTATGCGCTGAAGGGAGGGCTGCTGTCCGAAATGTTGTCTATGACCGACTTTTTATTTTTAAGGCAGTGTTATTTATGAACGTGTTGCGTTTTTTAAAAGTTCTTCTTACCTGTGCTTTGTGGACCACTGCCAATACAATAATCACCAAATAATGTGTAGGTTTTGTACCAGAAGAGGGTAAAAGCTAATTTGACGTTCGGACTCCGAACTTGGAAAGTCAAGAACTGCAGACGAAAATCAGGAAAAGGAAGGCTGCAACGGGGTGGGGCCCTGCGTGCTGGAAGGAAAATGGGCAGGTTGGCATCGGCAGACATTTGAGTGGTGTGCAGAGGTGAAGGGCAACAGTGGAAAAAATCTGGCAAAAGAGTGGAGGAGGAGGCTATGGCCCAGTCGTGATGGCATCAAAAGGCACCAGCCACAATACATTCTTGGCCATGATCCTATGAAGTGGAGGTTTTTTTTTAGAAAGTGGCAGAAATACAAAAAAAATTGTTTCCCTAATAGAGATATTACAAGTAGGGCTTCTAAAATGATGTTGGACGGAATTGGCTCAAAACACTAAATCAGTAGTTGCTCAGAACCTATCACAATAACTGATTTTTACTAAATGTAATCAATTATCAGGACGATCATTTATATAATTTACCCTCAAATTTAGGTTTTCACAGTTCTGCTGGATAACTCTCCGATGCGTTTTCGGATTGCGCCGCTTGTCGTTGTGTGCAATGTCGTTCCTGAAAATTTCTGCAGACCCTGAAGAAGCTCGTGCAGCGAAACGTCGGACATCACGCTGAATAACACCCACGGTACAACCTGACAACACGTCGCAGTGCACTGCAATTTGTGTGCTCCCATGCCCTCGCTTTCCTCTTGCCAATTCGTGGTGACAAGTAATTTAATGCCGAGCTGAGGGATTTGGCCAATTTCAACGACGACTATACATGATGTGCAGCCCACGTAAACATTTTCAGGGCGATTTTTATTACTTTATCTGATTATGTATTCGCATTAAGACCAACAACACTCTGCACGTGTAAGTAAAAAAAAGCAAACACAAGCAGTTGAAAACAAACAGTGCAATGTTAGTTTGGAGCTGCCATTTCGTAAACCCGCATGGTTTATAGAATGAGGCTTTTGGCCAGATGCAGTAACCGCAGGACGTAATCCCCAATGATACTGCGCAAGGGCCGCAACCACAAGCCCTGGATTATCCAAACATGTGAAAACACTAATTAACTGTGGGCTTTTAAATCTCCCTCGGGATAACAGCGTGGTTTACTTTGCTTTGCTTTTAAAAAGTTTTGCTTTAAAAGTCGGAGGGGATCCTCATGGGTGAGACTTTGATGGTGGCTATAAGATCAGATATGTTTAATATGTTTATGTAAATGAACTACACCACAGCTATATATATGTGTGTGGTTAATGCAGACTTGATTCCTTGAAAAAGGTTTCTATTTGGTGTTTGCACATCTTTAACGCCCGTTTTATTGCCAGAAAGGGTAAAATGTATTCTTATTTTTTTTATACTTTGATACTGCCAAAAACGTCCCATTTTGTAGCCGCTCACCCCGAACTAAAATGCTCTGATACACTGGGCGGAGCCAGGGGGGGGTGGCACGTGCCCCCCCCCCCCCCCCCCCCCCCAATGATCAGATTGAAATTCCTAATTTCGATCGGATCATTGGGGTTTATTAGTAATAAATCGGCATTTTGCGACCCCCACTGCCACTGTGTAGCATATTATTACGTGCCAGGGAGTCTATGAGATGATAGGACAATAGTCTGAGTTCATAATTGGCGATAAGTAACGGCAAAGCAGTTATAAGTGACTCAGAATTGTGCGCAGTTGCGTATATAGTACACGATTTCCCTGAAGGCAAACACCTTCAGCGAGCGCGATGCCGATCATACAAACGCGGTTCGAATTCGACCCTCGATCGATGGCTGCGCCATCGCCGCACACGCGTCGAATAAAAAGCAAGGGACAAAGTCCTTACTTACTAACAGCACCTATCAATTTGCATTGCTGGAGGGGTTGCCCCCCCTACCTGAAAATCCTGGGTCCGCCATTGCTCTGATAGTGGCATTGTCTTTGTGCTGTTCGCCTTTTGCCGTTCTCTGGTCTGACACTGGTGAGACTAGGCCCTAACTAAGGCTGTCTAGTGTAGGCCAATCACTTTCAAAGACAATGGATATATGAAATAATGATCAGGGGATGTTTGCATGTTTACCGCAAGAACGTGTGGTTAATGCAGACTTGATTCCTTGCAAAAGGTTTCTATTTCGTGTTTGAACATCTTAACACCTGCTTAATTTACAGAAAGGGTAAAATCCACTCTTATTTTTTCATACTTTGATAATGGAAAAAACGTCCCATTTTGTAGCAATATTGAAGTTGTAATGGATAAGCATTAATACGTTTCTTGAATTAAGCATGGATATTGTATGCATTTGGTATATATATATCTTTTTAAAGATGATGGAAGGAAATTCAAAGCCGAGGTGTACTAGGAATGAAGCAGAAAGAGAAGGGTGCTGATCTGCTGGGTGGGTGAACACAGCGTGGCTGAAACAGTCTGTCTGGCAGACAGACGCCCTCGACATGCAGGTTGGAATCAACGAGTGCAGTTCATGGGAACAGGAACCA